ACCACACAGACTGTGAGTGAGTTATCTGTGAGACAAAACTGGTTTTGGCGCGAGACAGTGAAGACTGCAAGGAAGTTATCTCGCCATGTCACTTTATTTTCGTACGATGGCGAGCTGTTTGTGACCGTGTTGTATGCGCTTGCCCCTGAGTGTTCGGTTGGAGTATTTCACACTATGACTTGATCTCTGTTATTTTACTTCACTCCCTATGTGTTTGTGATTGTTCGGTCCAAATTACTCATGATAGATGAATAAAAACGCCGTCAGAGGACAACTCTATAGAGTTGCCCTTTGACGACCTACTTGCAATCTGTGTTGCGCACGCCGAACGCATTGAAAGTTGTGATATCTTCTGCTCTGCTGACTTCGACATCTCTTTATAATCGAATCGCGCAAAACCGGCCATCTGTTTCAACCTGTTTTGTTATAGGTAGCTGTGACTCCATAAGCCACTGAATCGACATCAGGCAAAACGCCAAGACTGTAGAATCTGCCACTAGGATCTCAACTACCTAGCTGAAGATCGTCGCGGAACCAATATCTTGTGTGTTTCGAAAAGGGACTTAGTCTGTAAGCATAGTAATTCACAGGACGTAGGAAACTAGCGTTACGAAACCAAAGCGCCTCGGTTGAGATTCAAGGGTCCAGAGCAGTTTGGAGTTTTTGAAGCACCTGTGCTCAGTTTATCGGTCTTAACCTACTTTTGAGGTGCGTTCTAGAGATTCCCGAGAAATATTCACCCGCGTCTCGTTTCCATCTCGAGCGTTGACAATTTTTGCACCATTCAACCTTCCCTACAGCTTCCTTCTTCTGAATCTCTTACAATACACAAAGATGAAGATCTATTTGGGACATTGAAGAAGGCGAAATCAATTGCTTATATGTCCTTGAGTCCGGTTCAGTCGGAGAGCGTCCAATTACTTGGTGTGCTTCATGGAACCATCTCAGCAACACATCTGGATCATCTTTTACACCGATCTGGTGCGTCGACAGCTTCGGGAGTCAGGCCGTCCCGTCGCGTCTACCTCTCGGGGGAATCGAATCCTCAGTTGTCTTCTGCTAACATTAGACAATCATTTCTGCGGGACAAATCCATGAGACGTTCACTCCCGCGAGTACTAATTCACAGACACCAGAGCAAAATAATCAAAAATGGGGGGAACACTGCAAGGACTTGTGCGAGTCTTTTGGCCAAAGCGAGGTGAGTCAGCCGCATCGACGGAGAAGGCCAAAATGTAAGCCCCTAAAGTACTGCTTACCCTAACATGTAAATAGCATACATGCGCAGCATGGCGTTTCAGTCAACTGGCCCACCTTTGTTCGACGCAGTTATGTACCTGTTGGCTATGCGGTCAACCACGCACCACTTCCATGAGTACACATATGGCAGTTTCTGCAGTCTTCCTTCCTCTCTGTTATCTTTCTGACACGGGTGCTGTGCCTAGTTATGGCGAGTTTGTTAATAACTTTGTATCTGACTGACCATGCTCGTGCCTTTGCCTAATAATTTTAGTGCCCGTAAAATGACACCCCAAGATAGGTACGAATGATTTCTCCTGACGCAGACGCTCGTGGGTAGTTCTTCTCGTAACATGTCACAAATTACTCTCGAATTGATCAATCGATACGACAGTAGACGCTGCACTAGTGAATAGAAGCGGGGCGTTGGAATAATCGTCGGATATTAAGTGGTGTCGGCTCTATACCCGTGCCGATGTGTCTTCAAAGAATACCACCTGGAAGCGATTTTCTGTGCCACGACCATTCATTGTGGTTCACCAGGTAGATGCATATAGAAGGCTCGTAGTTTACCGCTTAACCTTGATTGATTATGCTCACTATATTATGTGCTTAAAAGCGTTATCTTTTTAGTCGAATACTTCAATCGAATGAATATGATTCCTCTTTTAAGATCGGAGGGACTCGATTTGGATAGATTGAACCAGCAGAATCAGAGCGGCGCGTCTCAATCCAGCGAATGCGACACTGATGTGAAGCTCAACCCTGCTCCGGACACAAATGGCCTACCGGGGTCCTTGCAACAGCCCATTACACCGCCCGCGGGACAGGCAAGCTTGTTTACTTTAAACAATCATTTGACCTTATCCGGTTGCAACGTCCCGTCTACAGAGGCTGTTTCGACTACGGCCCAATGCCAAGTAGAATCAGGTACAAGCCTGGAACAGACTGCACTAAGTAAACGATACCTCTTGATGAATCAATCAGGTCAGGTGATCTCCTGCACTACTTTGTTCGACGGTGACGAGGCGGACGATGATGCAAATGGAGTTGGCTGCCGTCGTTTGCAGAAATGTACCGGATGGAATTTTGTTCCACTATTTGTGGGACATGAACGTTCCGACAGATACGCTTTAAGCGATGAGGACCGGGTAGCCGATCAGAAAGATCCAGAAACATCGGTTCATGCTGTTCGTTCGTTACATCCAGGACCCGATGAAAACGAAGATAATCAGTCTGATCTGCCGGGCGTTAAGCAGACAGCTGACGTCAAATTGCTCAATCGACTTCGACGCTTCTTGTCCCGTCGTATACAGACTCGGAGAGCATCTGGCAGTCAGAAGAAGAGAAAAACCGGGTGCCTTGTCGCTGCAGACACCCATCCAAATATATCGGTGAGATCTCTGTTTCTGTTTTGTCCGCAAATACCATTAAAAAAGGTTGCGCAAAAATATTACACTGATGTTCGTCTTGTCATGTTTCATGGCACCTCTCCGTTACATCAGGAACCTTATTTGACCGGCACGTGAGGACTGCCGCGCAAGTTCGCTTTCTTCTATCCCACCTAGAACAACAATTTGCGGTTCACACGCTCCCAACCTTAGCAGTAGTAATATTAGTAGTAATCGACACTGATTGAATCATGGTTTGGTGAGGATCGTTTCTTATCCAAAAGCTTACCGCTTAGAAGACTGGTTCTGTTTTTTGAAAACCCGAGATGACAGATGGGCACCTTGCGTTGCATCTTATCTTCTGGAGTACAAATTGGGTTGCTAATCGCTCTAGTACATTAGTTCGTCTCGAAGACATTGGCCACTATGTATCGCAAACAACGTGCACCCAACGGAGAGGCATTATGTGAGCACATAAAAGCATAATCTATGAGAATTAAATGGGTGTTTTACCATCAGTCATCTTGGATTAAAGACTCAAAGTGAGGAAGTAGCCGGAAGCGCTAGCGCGATAGAGTTCGGTCATAGTCGAGGCCAGGAAACATCCCCATCCATCATCATTATAAAGGTCCCAATTCTGGGCTCGCCGGAGCACATGAAAACGTAACTGTATTCCAAAAGAGTAGTAGGGGGAGTAGAATGTTATGGGTAGAAATTCGTCACATCTAGACTCACTCAGACAGCCGCCACACGCTCGGAAAAGCACTGTACGCGCGTTTCATCCTCTCGGGAATCATCAGCAGTGCGCATTCCATCGGACCTTTGGTAGGGCTCGAACCCGCAACTCGACTGTTGCCAGTCCGTGGTTGAGACCACTGAGCTACGGGGGACGGCAACGACCATCGTGAATAAGTTACTAGATGTGATATAGCGCCGCTCACTATCCACTGACTTACACGTTACTACCGTGTAGTGGTCTCAACCACAGACTGGCAACAGTCAAGTTGCGGGTTCGAGCCCTACCAAGGGTCCGATGGAATGCGCACTGCTGATGATTCCCGAAAGGATGTAACTGTGTTTGTCCGACCCGACTAAACTATAATTCAACTCTTCTATTCTGCTTTCCGGGGCAAAGACCCTAATCCTTCTGTCATAGCAATATCCCGCGCTAAACCGGTACGGAGTGCTGATGTCATTGATACAAGGAAGGTAAACGTGATGGATTAGCCGGAAGCCCGGTGAGCGTCCGTCATCCTCCACACAAAGATGGGTTGCGCTTAATGTTTTGGCTTGTCCAGGCAGAACGGCCCAGATGCTTCAGACTTCTATTGCGCGAGCATCAGCGTGACCGTGGTCTCGGCTGCTCCCTAGATCGAGGGAGTGCACGCTTCAAACAAGCTCCGAATCCAATCATGACAGAGTCCAGTTAATAAAAGCATTATAAGAACAGCACTGCTGATTCATCGACCCAACGATGTTATCCATGGTTTCCAAGTTATAACATTAGGTCCCTCACTAGCGCACCTGCGTGGATGCAATGGTCAAGGGAAACCAGCTTATTGATGTAAGTCTCTCTCTCTGACGCGCAATCCGTGAACACGTACCTCTCTTTCTTTCTCCTGTACTGTTGCCACATTTGCGTGAAATGAAAGGTCTTACCAACGAGTTATCTAGTCCTTCTTGCAGACGCACAATTCATTTTGATCTGTGGTCAGTTAGGGAGTGATGGAAATGATCATGCTGCTTATCCCTCTTGAGTAAATTTGTGCTTAAAAGTCATTTCCAGGATCTTCGATTTCTCCTTTTTGGAATTCAAAAAGTGAACTGATGAGCTTTGATGAGCATTGTAGCACTCTAGCAGTGCTTTAAGCTCCATTTTTGTATTCCATGCTATCGTTTTTAATTGCACCCTCAGTGTAGCGTTCCATTTTCCAGACTTGCTCGAATCACGATCGACAACAACGTCGCCAAAAGCGCCGGCGGAGGAAACGAATCGGAGCCACAAAAGTCATCACAGACCACTCTACGTCAGACTGTCAGTCTTTATCGGAGGAACCCTGCAGATCGTCTGAGACCACGCGGTTTCATACGGGAGACACACTCGATGACACGCGGAGTTCAGGCAATTTACAAATAGACCGGAAACATACCATCGTGAGCAATGCCTCAGTGTTCTCGTTGCCCGCAATACCTCCTGAAATGTGGACGGTTGAACGACCCGTGTGGATTATGGGCGTCCCGATGAGTAGTGATCAACGCTGGGTTGCAGTGGACGCGTGTGATTTGATTGTCCTGAGCAAGGATGGTGACAGAGCGGGCTCAGTCGATTCAATGAAGCCGGTCACAGGCTCGCGCTCATCTATGTTCGCGTTTCATGTGAAACCACCATCCAGACTGAAACCAGCGACACGTGCCGCTGCATGCACGCAACACGTTCGAGCTCGATCTCTAGGGCGAATTCGCCTATCGGAAAAATACCTCGCTCAGCATTGATGTGCCGATTGTTTGCATTTCAACTACTTTAGTAACCTTTTAACTTATTATCAATCAGATGAGTTCGTTTTTTGGAGAAGATATGTCGTTTTATAAGTGATTACTTCGTATGTACAAATGGTATGGTCGGGTTTCGGATTGTTAATAGTTAGCGAGTTCGAGCGGTAGCGGCCCCATCTTGTTCTTCTTTCGACAAGCGTCCATCTGGCTTTTCTCTGAAAGACAAAAAATAATGATCAGAGTTCAGAAAGATAAATGACAGTTTAATCTCGTACTATCCAATTTTACTCAACTATGACACCTATGTGTAGGGATTCGCTTTTAATTTCGTGTGCTTGTCACGCGTTATAGTGGCGACACGCGCAATCTTGATGTATGGGCTGAGGTTTCTTTTGCAATGGATCTCACTCCAGATCGAAACATGTAGTAGTAGTGGTAGTGGAATCGTGCAAAACATCGGATTTTGTGTGGATGTTATCCACCGGTGGCGGCATCCTTTTCATCAAGTTGTTCCCTTTCTTCTTAGGAAATCTGGGGTGTCACCATCAATCTCAATATGTTGTGCTAATGTTTCACTGCAGTATAACCATGATGGCTTAGGGAAGGAGAGGAAATCAGAGGAGGGGAGGTGGCGATCTGGTGTAAAAGATGATATCCAGATAAAAGTATCTACACCAATGGGCACAAATAACTATCATGCGAAGGTAAGGAGATATTAGTAAGACAGCTCTGCATCAAAATCAGGCATATTCACAGATACTACAGCATCCGACAAAGTTTAGACAGACAATCTCACTAACAGGCGACTGCAGACGCACCACTTGTGCTGGCTGCGTGCAGAAAGCGCTGACTATTATTAAAATAGAATCACATACCGTTCTTCCTCCGACTCCAAGCGGAACGTGTCCAAGTAGTCGGGTGGGACGTCGACAAACTGAACGCTTGGAGCATGTACCAATTGTTTCAGATGATCGTGTACCGTGGTCCGAAGTGCTTCGATATACTGCAAGTATACGGTTGGAATTGTCAGCTATAACTTTATTCGGAACTGCAATCAGTACACAGAACAAACTACCAAACATCAAAAGAGCGCTATATATGCTGGACAACAACTGTTTGCAGGGCGCGGGCGTATTGACACAAACGGTAACAGTCCAGTTCACTTAAAGGATTATGGTCCAGGCACCGAGGTGGTGGCTTCGGCAACAGTATAACACAAATTAGCGATGATTGGGAAAATGAAGCAGAACACAAGGGGGTTAATAAAAAAGTGAATCCTGTCAGACGAAAGAAACCGAATGTGAGAGCACAAATGAGTTCGCGCCACACCAAATGGGCTGTCCACCCATTCCGACGCCCCGATTCACCAATCAAACCGATTCTGTTAGTTGACTTGTTTATGCCATCGCCGACTGATCACCTTTGTGGGTTTGCGCAGCCAGGCGCAGAGCAACGACATACACGTCCTGGAAGGTGGTCAGACAAACCTAAACACTAACCGGTAGATTTCGGTATTGGACTGCCACCAAACGTGTGCAATACTCCACAAAAACCGGGAAACAAAGACGATCAATCCTCTTAGTGTTTTCTGTTTATAGGTGGCTAGGTTTCTCATCCATACGGTTATGGCACTCTGTCAATTGTACTACTGCTGGTCATTCTAATGGCAACCCCGGTTCTACCGCTGCGTTGTATACCTTGCCTTCGGATGATAGCCTGATTCCCACCATCTCTGTACATCGCCATTAAGCGCTGGAGGACAGTATTCGATTAGATGGCAGGGGTGAATTTGCTTCAAGCACAATAGTTTCGAGTCACCCCCGGCTGCTAGTAAGCAAAGTTATTGTCCAATGGAGAATGGACCGCAACACAACGCGCCATGGACTTTGGCCGATACTCGAAGCATCCGACCATCGACAGCTCTCAACCAATATATCAAAGACAGGATGTGAAGCTCTGTGGGGGATCAGCGCTAAGTTGATGGCCGAGTGGTCTGCACGCCAGGCTTGCAAACAATAGGTCACCAGTTCGAATCCGCGTAGGGATGGGTGTCATCGCGGTATTCTCAGCCCACGCGCGACTGGTGGTGGTCGAGCGGCAGCGAAGCGCCGTGACAGCGTACAGCTGACACACTCATGCTCCGCTGTCACACGACTACTACCAGTCGCGGGGTCCCCACACCCATGCAGACTGGAACCGGTGGTCTGTGCATTACAAGCTGGACACTGGCTGGCTGTAGTGCATCTATTGTGATATTAACTACAGGTATGACCGATATGCGTCGAAGACACCAGGAGATTGGATGCTCTTGATCACCAGTATTTAAGCAGCATTGCTGGGGCCACCAAAGTGAATACTGAAAATAGAGAGCGATAAGATGAAAGTCTATGTTGCACGGAATCACGTCGCTACTTCCTGCGCGGTGGCAGCATATTGCAGCTACACTACTTTTATCCGGGTTGGGTACGCTCCCCATACCTTGTAGTTCGCAAAGTAGGCGTAAAGGAATCTCTAAAATTCCGACACTGATTTCGCCTCGACTAGCCTCTCCAGCAAGTCGTTTCAATATATCACCACTCGACGCACAGAGGGTGAGTGATGCTCTTTAAATCCGGTACCACTAGTTAGTACCGGTGTCCGCGTGTGCTGCTTGTTGCGCGAACGTGCAGCACTGGCTTCAGCATAAGGAAGTGGCCCAGTTGCAGTAACCGGGTGGCAATCTCTTCAGAACAAGTGCAAAAGTTGTGTCTAAGTGCCCAGAGCAGGCGTAGTTCTTTTACGTACAGTCTGTTCCTGTTGTCGACCGACTTCAGATTACAGCGTGAGAGTACGCTTAGATCCTTTACGGAGCTGGTGGGATTCACGCCCATTACTACCCCTCCCCAGGTTCATAAACGAGGATTTGGCCTTGTTGAACGGCAGGTCAGCTTCTGCAGACCACTGAGGTAAGCAGTCGAGGTCCTGCTCAAGGACTTCACAGTCGCCGGGAGAACCAGTAACCCTACAAATCTTCAGGTCATCCGCGAATAATACGCGGGGCGATCGAAGAAGTTGATGTGCATCAGGAATAAAATGGGCCCAGCACTGTGCCTTGAAGTACGCCGTTAGTGGACGGGCATCATTCCGTTAGGTGATCATCTACCTGAACCCGCCATTTTCTCCCAATAAGGAAGTCACTGGTGCAGTGCGCCACCAGCACCACACATCCTCAGCTTGTGGAGCAGGACCTTATGGTTCACTTTATCGAATGCTTTATTGTAATCGATGTAGATAACATCCACTGATTTGCCCCAGCTCAACGCTCGCAACCATTCCTGCTGCGTCAACAGCAACTTGGTGATGTACGAGCAGTCCTTCATGAAGCCGTCCTGTGCCCGCGTTAGGAGACCTTTTGACTCCAGCAGCTGGAGAAGACCCTTTCTCACAATCTTCTCGAGCACCTTCGCCAAAACAGAGATGAGACAAATCGCCCGGTAATTGTCCACATTGCCTGAATCACTGTCTTTTGGAATCGGTTTCATTACCGAGCATTTCCAGTCGCTCGGCAATGCACCGTCTGACAAGGATCTGTTGATCAGATCCGCCACGGCCGATAACCACTTTAAATAAGCGGATAAAGTCTGTCGGGTCCGACAGGTTTTGTGCCATCAAGACTTGCGAGTAGAGTGCGGACATCTTCCACACCGCAATCCAGGCCATTGAGTTCAGTAGGGGATGCACACGTCGAGCTCGGTATAGGCGCATGCCCACTTGTAAATACGGAAGTGAAGTGCTCCGCCAGCCAATGCGGACGCATGTTCATTGCTTGAGGTCAGAGGCTGTCCGTCAGTACCCTTTAACACAGCTATGTCATTTGCGGGCCTGAGGCGCCGCTTCACGTAAGCAAAAATCTTCTTGCGGCTTTCTTCCTGAGGTTGTAAGCTGCTCTTCGAACTGCCGACGCTTTTGAGCTGTCGCATAGATTTCGCTGCCTTTTGTACGCCTCATAATCGTCGACAGAGCCAGAAACGAATTCATTCCATAATATGCTTCGCCAACGAGCTAATCGGCCATACTCTCAGTCGAACCAAGATGGTTTCATTGGTCCAGTTTTCGTATATCTGAGGGGCACGAAACGTGCGACTAACGATTGCACACTCTTTTATAACAGACCGACAGGCTTCAACAGATGAATCCTGCGGCAGCGACCAGTCTACTTCACTGGCGGCACGATTTAGACCATTGAAGTCGGTCTTCCAATAACCAGCAGACACGAGTAGGGCAGCGGCAGCTCTAGGCTGGCTAACACCATCGACTGGTCACTAGCTGCCAGACGCTCCAGGACCTGAATTTCATGTATACGTTGCTCGCAACCGATTAATAGTACGTCCAGGCATGATGGAGCAGAATGCGGTGTAACGCACGTCGGTTGATAGACGTGTTGTGCTGCCTTAGTTTCAAATACCATCTCCTCAAACTGCGCATCGATTTCATAGTGGCCGGGGAGAAGTTGAACTTCAGGGCACCGTATTCGAGAGAAGTTGAAATCACCCATAAGCAGGAAGCGGCACCGACTCATGTAATTTCTGCCATGCGGCAAACAATCCAGGCAACGACTTCGCGGGCTGCGATAAGCAGCACTCACAAACATTTCACTCTGTCTCAAACAGGGCGGAGCACCAAAACTGTTCGCACAAGTCATCTTCGCTACGGTAAGTGTGTACCAGTCTCCCACACAGCGATGACCGAATGTATAACAGCAAGCCGCCTCGATCGTTTGATAGTCTGTCGCACCAGAAGCACGAATACCCACTGACCTGAACTTCCTGGGTAGTGATCTCAGGATTTATCCAAGTTTCGGCAAGTCCTAGTACGTCCGGACGACGAAGCAACGAAGTGAAATACATGGTCACTTTTGTTCATTAAACTACAAACATTTGTGAAGGCTACGCGAAGGCTGCGGTAGGAACCGGCAGATGCGCATGAAGCGTCATCGATCTGAGGAACTACCCGAAAATTTACAATGTGGTGATTGGTTTCTCCACTATCAGTCCGCCGCTTCAACTCCACGATAGCAGACTAGTTTTTCTGTCCGACGGATCCAAATCGGGACGAATATGGATCTTTAGACCTCTAAGCCTACCGAGGGGGATAGTATCAGCCTCGGACTCGTTTATATCAACAAACGCGACTGGCAGAGGCCGGGATTTCCCCTCCTTTCCAAGATGGGTGATTTGCTTCATCCGCAACCCCTGTTCATTCACAGCGAGAAGCCTATCAATCACGCTCTGCAGAAAATCTGTATCGTGCTCATAACGAGTATCTGTCGACTCAGGCGCTGATTGCTGGCAGTTGTTTTCTCCTTCGCTGCATTCCCCATTGGCCTTCAACGCCTGCGCTATCGCACACCGGTATGTTAGTGTCTGTAGGACGCAACATACGCACGGCAGCTGAGTCTCCAGAAACGGGTGGACATCGCGCTGCCGGTGGGCTCGTTCAAACATAGTGACTGGGTTTTCTGCTTGTTTAGATTTACCCACGGAGGTCCTCTCTATGGAACGTTTCGCTCGTCTTGTAGGCTCGCGTGGCTTCTCGGCTGTTTATGACTGCACAATGGCTTGGCATTTCTTGTACAATATTTGGACAAAGTCATGCTGAATTGCAAGTGGTAGTTTAAAATGATCTAAAGACAAACCAATACACGAAATGTGGAAATTCACACCACATATGAGGCATGTAGGAGCATTGGCTCTATGCCCAACTATATTGCAACAAGTGCCATAGGAAGTCAACTTTGCCATTAATGGTAACGTAGCGGATGTGACGGTAGACGATAAAATACGCGCTACAAATACCAGAGTGAAATATATGGACACGAAACTAATACGCAATAATCTAATCCAGAATCGTAAAAGAAACCGAATTTGACAAAAATAAACGAAAAATCTACTCTGCACAAAGTAATGGACGGTGCAAACTGGCCAGTCAAATAGAGCGAGAAAAGCCGTCCGGCGAGCACTATTC